TATATATGGAAGTTACTCTCAGACTTTGCACAATGTCGTCAATCCATTTCCTCTCCTCACAAACCTGAGACTTACTGGTACCTACAGCAAAAAGCTGAAAATATCAAAATGGTGATTACAAAATTTGTATAGTTAATGTACGGGCACAGAGCCCTAAGGACCCATTTAAGATCAGCAGCAGGTAAAACCCGGGGCAGGAGATGCCATTTGCATATGATAAACTCACTGCAGGTAGAGAAAGCAGAACGTGTCCATCATGGCTGCAAACAACACTTTGGGGGGGAAAAAGGAGCAGTGTCGTGAGTTCAAGTACAGCTCTGAATCAGGAGCCTCCTCAGAAGGGTTTCTAGGCCATTGTGAGTATTTGAAGCGTTCCAATTAAAAGTGAGCATCATCTTAAATTAGCCCCGTGTTTCAGAGGAGCTGACTGCCTGAACTAGAAATCAATGGCACCAAGTTTTACTGCAAGACAGGAGAAGCACAAGAGCAAGAGTCTGAGTGATTATGTCAATTCAGGAAGCCTGAGGAGTTAATGAGCAGAGTCTGAAAGGCCCAAGTGGAGAAACACAGGGAAAGGCTCTGTGTTCTAATAAGGAATACCTGGGGATGCTGCATCTCTCTTTTATTTTCAACTGAGGAACGAGGCTCTGGTTTAAGTACATGTGTAGAAGCAGATGCTGCAGTCAAAGTGACTTATGTTTCCAAGACTGAGTCCATACGCCTCCAAAAGACGAACAAACAGGGAAAAGCAAAAGAAGTTTTACAAGTCACATCTAGAGAGAAGCACAAGTGATAGAGAGCACATGGATGGTGCACACAGATCCCTGCACTCCCAGTGCTGGAGGAGTTCAGTGTGTAATTATAATACAGCTAAAGCCACCCACAGAACAGGCTTTGAATAACTCAGGTGATGCAACAACCACATTAACAAAAAAGTCATGGTAGAGATATTAATGCCTAAATAACAGTGTGATAATGATTTCACAGGTGAAACAAGGAGAGCCGAAGGCCCCCTCCGAAGAGCAGAGCTTACCTTCCTGTGGCATCCTACAACACAGCAGAAATTCCAGAGCCTCCCTGCAGTATCAGATTTGCTTTATTTCCACATCTCTGCCTCAGAGAAGCTTTTGTTGGGGCTCAGAAGAGCCATTGAATATAATCACCTTCATAGGAAAGCATATTTCCTAACCCTGGGAAGTGAAGTTTTACAAGCTGAAAGCAAACTAAAGGCCACGGTCTCAGGACTGGAATTTTTGTGAGCTGTTTCTACTCAGGACTCAAACACCAAGTGGAAATTTCCCTAGGTGGAGTTCTTTGTTTGATGCAGCAGGCAATTAGAAGTCCCCAAGGTCTGCAGAAACGGCATAAGGCTGATATTTTTGTCGGGGAGAATTTAAGCAATGCAAGACAAAAATAATAACTTGAAATTCTGCTGCAAAACACATCCTTGTTTTTTGTCTCACCCCAAATCCTGGTGATTTCAAACAGGCAGGTAACAGATGTAAGCACTGAGAAGAGGTTTGGAAAAAGGTTAAACACGATTAAAAAAAGCAATATCGAGTCTGCATTGCCTCAGATTTGATTACATGAAAAGGTCAAGTGATAAAAAAGAAACTTTGCATCTCTAAAGGCCTTGAGGGCACAGCAGAAGTAGTTTATCATTGGAATACAGATCAAATTAACATAGATTTATTTTCTTTTTCCAGTTGGCATCAGCGTCCTATTTGAGGTCCCTTGGGACTTCACAAGCAAAACAAGCAAAATTCAGGCATACACTAAAATAAAACATCAATTGCTGGGATCCACAGTTTCTCTAAGCTCTTATATTCCAACTCATTTGGAAAAGAGACTGTCAGAGGTTATCTGCCATCCACACATGAGGATCTGGAAGGGGAGACTGACTGTCACCAGGAACAGCCCGTGGGAATGCCCTTTTCAAGGCTTCAGATACCAACAATTTAAAAGAAAAAATAAACTGCCACTCCCCTTGCTCTGTACAGGACAGAAAGAAAAACAAATTGTAGTTGATAAGAAGATTAGCGGGTGTTCCAGGGACAGGGACTGGGAGATAATCGCAAAATAGAAAATCCACCTAATGGGACCGTGCCAATGCAACTCAACTAATAACTGCAGACATTGCTTCCCTTAACTTTCAAACGGTAGCTCAATTATTGAAAAAAATCAATTTCTCGCATATTTTTCTCACATTATCTGATAAAATCCAGTAAGGAAAACCCAAGAACAGTAAGCATTTAGCTTCCTAATCTCTGCATCGAGAGAGATTCTTGAGAAAAGCTCTCTCTCAAGAGCTGCAGTCCCCCAGTCCCCCACCAGCGAGACAATGGGAGAGGACGCAGCAAAAATAAGGATTAGAATGCCACAGCGCCAGCAGACGAAGGTAGATTCCGTGCCTTCCAAGGATGCAAACTGCATTACAGGAATGGTTTCATTTTAATCCTTTTCCAAAAGGTCAATGCCCCTGTTCTCCGGGGCTGGGGGAGCCAAGCTGAGACACTGCTGGTCTCCCTCTGTGCCAAACCCTGGCACTGGCAAACCCTGGGATCTGCTTCATCACACGGACACCAGGCTTTGGAATAAAACCACTGATAATGTTTTCCGAGCTGGTATCTCATAGCACATGTCCATAAGCAGTGGATTCCAGAGGGATGTGCATGGCAGCCAAATTTGCCTCGAGTGTAAGGGAGGAAGTGACCTACAGCTGGAGGAGTTTCCAAACAGGTGGAAGGGACTGGATGTGACACCAGCAGCCAGTACAGTCCCCACCATCAAGGCAATGCCAAGGAAGCTGAGCTGGGATGAGCTCCACACCCTCGGAGCAGCTCCACCACCCTTCCTACGAGAACCTCCACACAAGTTCTTCCACAGTTATCAGCATGTTCCCTTGATTTACAGGAATTTAAGACAAGGATTGGTGCAAAGTAGGAGGAATACTGTTCCTCAGTAGCAGTGAAACAAGTAGAAATCACGGACTACACCAACTCCACGCAGCACATATTAAAAATATCCCAAACCAGCTTAGTGCCCGTTAGGAATTATCGCCAGCTCAAGGCTTTGGATTTTTGCACCACACTAAGGTACATGTTCTGCTTAACCAAGTTAGCCAAAATTTACTGTAAACCCTCAAATCAAGCCATTCACAAGCAGCCACAAGCCTGTTCTTTCTCTCTCCCTAAATAATCCAGAACCTACACAAGACAGATGCAGTTGTTTTGCATTTCCAAACAACACCGAGGCGTAGATTATTAAACCCTTATTTACGTGTCTGGAGCTCAGCACATACTTTGCTCCTTGTTTCCCTCTAATACACAGGTTATAGCATCAAGTTTTTAAAATAGTAAGATTTTCCCCTACTCATCTTGCTGTTCAGAGAGCTGAATTACACGAGTGTTTGGTTTTAGGGACAAAGATGGAATTTCCCCCCTGCAATTACTTTCATATATACAAATGCAGTATATATTTCATATATATATATATATATAAATATGAAAGTTATATATATTCATATATGTATACGTCTGTTTATATATGTATATGGGTGTGCATATATCCATATATATGTATATAGATATTTATACATATAAGCATCTAAGCCTTTTCTATGTGAAATGCACAACCTTTACACTCGGCTGAAGCATCTCCCCCGAAAGCCAAGGTACCAGTTCCAACCCGAAGATTTACTTAAGATCCATCAACAAACAAATGGATTCGTTTAACCGAGGCTTTTCTCTACGACATTGCCTTTTAACACTCTTCCAGACTCATCTGAAGCTCGCCGCTCCTGCGCCCGTGCCAAGAATGCCGAGGTCACTTCCCAAAAAAAACCCAGCCCCGAGCATCCCGATGAGACGGAGCTCCTGGCCAGGTGAGAGGCCTGAGGGATGCGGCTTTCCCGAGAGCACGGGGAAAACGCGAACTCTCCGCCGCGGGAAGGACTCGGGGAGGCCGGACAAGGTGGAGTGGGTTCCACACCCGCCGAGACACCCCGAACCCCGCTTATCTCCCGCCGGCGCAGCAGGTACCCCTAGGGGAGGCCCAGCCGCCCGCACACACGCCCCGACAGCCCGCACACACCTCTATGTATCCGGCGAGCGCTGCCGCGGGCCCGAGGAGCACCAGGAGCAGCAGGAGCGCGGAGCCCATCGCCGCCATCATCACCCGCCGCCGCCCGAGCGCGACTGCGGCCGCAGCGCCCCCGCGGGGCCCCGCCTCGCCACGCCACGCCCCCGCGCCGACTGACAGCCACGCTAGCCAATCGCCGCGCAGCGCTGCGGAGAGACCCCGCCCACCGAGGTGAATGGGGCGGAGGCCCGCCCCGGCGCCGCTGGTAGCCAATAGGAGGAGGAGAGGAGAGGGCGGGGCCGCCCCGGCAGGAAATGGCGGCCGGGGCTGAAGGGAACCCTCAGGGGAAAGTTCGCGGGCTGTGACTGGGCTGCGTCACCGGCACCCCGCCTTTGTCACCCCACGCTGCCACAGACATTAACCCGAAAAGACCGTGGGCTGTATGGGGGTCTGTGGACTGAACACTGCCCAGCACTGCGGTGAGCGAGGGGGCTCTGGGGTAGGAAAAGCCAAGGGAGGCGTTTTCCTCATCTAGAAAGAAAACAACAAGGTTTCCCACTCAAAAAACCAGCTCTACATCCACTCCTGGTTCCTTAAAGCCCTTGACCCAAGACAGGAGCAGCAAGTTCCCAGCCCTTCTTGTTTCACAATAAAACTCGATACAGTTGTGCTTTTATATACATATATATATATATATATTCTTAAAATACAACTATTGAATAATAATCATCAATTTCTTCATCCTGCTGCCAACACTGGATACTCACCAGGCACTACCTGGAAGAGAAGACAACACATGTGCTGCCAACCTCTGTAAACACAGCAAAACGCAAACTTTTATTAAACAACAGACACGTATTTAATTAAATATTTAATTAAACATCACATTCACCATCTCCAGTTTGTGCAGCCATGGGTGTGACACAGCCGTGCCTTTCCTTTCAACCAGAGCACGGCACCAGTTGCTTCCAATGCAGATGTTCTGCCACTGTTGGAGCCACTATTTAAAGACACATTTCTGGCTTAAAAACCAAGGGGATTTGTGCCAGATTTGCATTGAGGCTATTTGAATTTCACCACATTACTTATAAACAGAAATTTAAAATAAGCCTTTCAGGAGCAAATCAGAGCTACCAACAGAAGCTGCTGATACCACAGTCCTTCCACGTTGGTGCAGAACAATTATTATCCCCTTTTTAGTACTTTATTTAGTTTTCCCAATAGAAATGTACATCAGTCAGTTCAGGCATGACAAATGCCCACACTGAAGATGCAACCGCTAAAAGATCCCACTGGTTTGAAGAACATGACACCTTGAAAAATCTGATGTAAACCAATATATTTTAGGGTTATTTTTTTTAAGCACAAATAAACAGTGAACTCATAAGAATTAAGTTAGAAAAGCAGTATAATGGAATCACACAGTGGATTGGGTTGGAAAAGCTCATCTTGTTCCACCCCCCCCGCCATGGGCAGGGACACCTTCCACCAGACCAGGATAGACTATCCTATAGATTCTATAGAATCTATGCCTTTTTGTATGAAGATATGTGAGGCGCTAATATAGGATGGAAAAAGACCATAGTACAAAATGTCACATAGTTATAAAACCTTTCCATTTGCAGCTTCCATGTTCTTTAATGTCTCTTCCAAGTGCTATTTTCTGAAATAGGAATATTGCCGAAATGTTGCAAATGGGGCAAATCTATGATAGATCAATAAGCCCCGTTTTAATTAAAACAGCTGACCAGTCCACTGGTCATTTATTATAGTCTCTTTCTCACACAATTTGAAAACTCTTATATCTCTTTTACTGCAGTCCTCTGGCATATTTAATTTCCTTTTCCACTTGGCCAAATTCAGTTGAAAAATTAAGTAACAAGTTGTTTTTGAAAACTGACACATTTAATGTAAATATTTTATTGTGTAAAATAAATACATGAGTAAATAACAAGACATTCTGAGTTAGGCTTTTCCCTTGTTTGAGAAAAGGAGGGATTTTTCTTCCTTCCCAGGTAAAAATGTACAAGTTCTTTATAAATCTTTGGATAGCAGCTTTCATTGGAGGTTGAATTTATATAGTATTTAAAGTGCTATATAAATTAATATACTTTTAATATTTACGTAGTGCTTGGTGAGTATTAATTCACGTTCACAACCCTGACTGAGACAGCCCTGATTCCAAGTGTTATCCTATAACACATTCCCCGTCATACAGAGATCAGTCCTCCCAGGACTAAAAGGCCCCAGAAAAAAAAAAGGTTTAAGCCACCAGATCTTGTTCATTCCTTGGTGATGCAACTAAATTCATACGACTGCAGGAGGGGAGGGAGGGAGATGGAGATACAGCAAGATGCAAATGGCATTCCAGCAGCTGGGAAAAAATACCCAATGGCCTTCAGCATGGAAATGCTTTAGAAAAGACTGTTTTCAGATGACTGCTGTCAACATGGGAGAAGGGGTTACTGCAGGTGTGCTGGCACTCTCAATGGTTGTGGTTAATTCAGTGTACAGATCTCTTCCAGGTGAGCACTGGTACTTGTCTGTTGCCTGTGACAACAGCACCAGTTTGAATCAATGCTGCAGCATTCCCTAGAACATCCTTCCTGCTGTTAACTTTCCAAGAATCCCATTTTACACGCTTGTTCCCAGGGCTCTCGGTGCCATCCCCAGGACGTCAGTGCTAACGAAGCACTAGGAATCTCATCCTCACCTTTGGCTGCTATTGTTTATTCTGTAAGAAATTCTCAAGTGAACATCTCTGCCCGTTAGCACTTGCAAGAACATGACTGTGTAAACAGAAAGAGCATATTTATGATTGCAAAAATGTGCTCTGAGAGGGTAATGTTAAACTAGATAAAAGGAGCAAACAGAAGTCATAGAGAAATGTATTTGGTATACCATTAAAGTCTCTGGGAGCAGCAACTTTAGCAAACTGATGAGATCCTGCCAGTACCTGGAGAACGAGTTCAGAGAAGTAAGAAAGTCTTCAAATAGTCTCACCATTCTCTTAAACTCCACCAAAAAAAAATCATAAAATCAATCTAGCCTGTGAATTGTAATATTATACAGCTCTTTTAATTAAAAATCTTCACTGAAGATTTAAATGGAAGATCCTATCATTTGCATTAGCTCTGTGTGCCAGTATGTGCAAGGAAGAGCTGGCAGAGGTAGGGTTCAGTCAGTCTGGGTTTTAGGAGGTAGAATGCAAACTAAAGTTAGAAAACAACTACAGCATGTGGTGGGATTTAGTAAAGAACTCCTTTTTACTTATTATTGGAGTATTGCAATCATACAATGTTATTACTGCTGAACACAATTCAGCAATATAAGAAATACTAAACAGCGCTTCTAGAAAAAATACAGTGTACAACTTGCACAAATTATACACAATTAACTGCCCCAACTCTTGGAAAAAAAACCTCTGCCTGTCACCAGGGCTGTGTGAGGGACACAAAGCAGTGCAAAACTGTTATTAGCCAACTAAAACATGATCAACATCCAGCTATGTAAGTGCCTGTGGGAAATAATACTTCTCCAAATCCAGAAATAACATCAGAAGGTTGCCAACGTGCTCTGGAATCGGTCATCTATATTTGGCTGCAACATTTCTGTGTGGAAGTCCAGTTTTGCAGCCCAGCCTTCCATCTGTGACTCGAAGGACAACACGCTGGGGACAAGACGTAGGAAGTTCAGCAGCAGTGAGATGGAGGCAACTGCAGGAGAAATTGGCTTTAAGATATACAGAGAGGAGGAAGGTGTTCCATAGAAAGAGGGCAACAAAAAAGGCACAGAGAGCTTCCAGGCCTTGAGAGATAACACAAGGCAGACAGGAGCTTAGAAACAGAAAGGTGATTTCTATGGGAATACAGTGAAGTTTAGGAAACTGAAAGGCTGGAAAATAAATAAGGACAGATGCATTCCAAGTGGAGTCATACTATAAAAACAGTGATAAATAATAATTGCAGGAATAATTGCAGGTGTGAGGAGAAGCAGCACAGGAATCTGTGAAAAGGAAGTGACACAGTGGTGGACAACAAGCCTTTCTATTTCTGCTCAAAAACATCTTCAAAAAGGCTTGGCAGGGAAGGAAGAAAATCTGCCCTTCATTCTGTCTATGAACCCTTAACTCTATGGCCATTTTCCCACTGCTCTGTTCCATGCCTGAAACAGTGCCATTAATTTGGCTTCCACACAGGTGGGCTGAGATGTTTCAAGTGGGTAGATGTGAAGAGCAGTTTGTGGTGTGTTCATCTCTAGCAGCACAATCCTTGTCTACACACTGCTAAGGAAACAATCCTGGCATAAATCCCCACTCTCCTGGAACTACAAACTTCAAAATAACCCTTCAGTTAGGTTTGGAGATATTACTGCTTTGCTGAAGCACCAGCACAGGAAAAAGGTGGCATTGCATTGGAAAATGAAAAATACATTAATCCAGGATGCTTAAGGCCAGCACAACAAGAGCATGGCTGCTAAAGGAAGCTGCTGCTCCTTCAACACCCTGCACATGAATCTCAGCATCCAGAAAATGTGCCAAAGTCTATGATTTCCTCACATTTCTAGATGGAGGGCAAAACCAGTGATCATGGTGAATTTAACTGTTTTTCTGAAGACTACCCAAGGCAAAAGCAGTGTCTGAGAGACATAAGGAATCCATTTTGGGATAGAATTGCACATCTCTAGGATTCACTATCCAGGAAATGAAATTACCTGTGATATATAATTCAATAGAGTAATGAGCCTACACTCAGACTGAGGATCCCAAATGCAGAAATAGCAGAGCCTAACCTCCTTTTTAGCTAATACACAAACTGGGAATTTATGCTGCTCATTATCTCTCTCCAGATGGATCTGAGGCTTTGGGCACTGACAGGATCTCAAGGCAGAGCAAAGCCTGATGCTTCTCCAAGGAGCTGAACACAAACACTGACCCTGACACAGGGAACTCAAAAAACGGAGGGTCTAAAGGTCTACAAATAAAGGCACAGTGAAGACACTTGGGGGCAGAGAGGAAGGAGAGGCTGCATTGCAGAAAATATGTAGTAAACTCACCCTCTTGCATTGTAATATCTTCCTGCAATGGCATCCTGTCTTCTTTATTTCTTTTAGTCCACCTGTGAAGATGAAGTGACATTTAATCTCTGAAGATTGCAGGATCAGTCGTTCATGTATCAAGGCAACCAAACCACTCCAGGTTAAATAAGCTGAACACCACAGTCGTGGTAGGAAAGCCATCTGAAAACTTAAAGAGAAAAAAAAAATCCCACAATTGAAAAGAATCCACCACCAACTGAGCATATTTTCCACAGATATTGGCTCATTGTGGTGCTGAGATTCCTTTTGTTGTCCTTGGATGTTCCTTCCCTCTCCCCTCATCTGCTTGCCTGTCTCAGTCTCATTTCATCAGTGTGAAAGGTGGTTCATTTTATAGAGGTCTTCTATGAAAGATGAAAATTCAAATATGTTATAATTAGCTGCAGTTCCACATAAGTCAGTATTATTGCAGCTTTTATATTAGATCTTCATTTGTCCCACAAAGGTGTGTGTCAAATATTACAGCAGAATGATTAATGACATCAGACATACTGGAAGGATTAAGCGTTGATGCAGGAGAGTTGCTCAAGAGGAACAATTTTAACTTCTTTTCACTCATAATTTATTTTTGTCCTCTACTGTAAAAGAAACCTGAAATGGAAAATAAAAATGGCTTGTGTTACTGGCAAGCAAAAGAAGAGATCTGATTCATGATTGAACTCTTCATTTAGTATTCATTGGTAGATTAAAAGCCAAATCATCTTAACAAATGGCACAGCAATGAAAAACATGGAATATAAAAACCTCAAGACTTCTGCTGAATAAACGTGGAATCGTTTGCAGTAGCTTTGAAGATAAGTGCAATTCAACAGTAAAAAAATCTACCCCTCCCTCCACAATCAGGTCTGATTCAGTGCCTGCTCCATCAGGCATCATGGAGTAACCTGTGCTAACAAGCTCTTTCATGGCACACCAAAGTCACCTTTTATTTCTCCCCATCAGTTGTTTGAGTAGTTACTCAGTTTGCAACCAACAGGGTGTGTGAGGAAGGAGCTGATGACACAGGAACAGGCAACAAGGAATTTAAAATGTCTAGGAGACACATCATGCCTGTTGATGCAAATTACTGGGAACTGTAGATTTCCATCAGCTGCACGATACCTTTAAGTGCTTATTTTTCTGGTCCACTTAGAAGCAAAATAACTCCAAAAATCCCCTCCTTACTCACTTTAATCCAGTATCAGCACAAAAAGCTGCAGTTTGCATCATTCTATTTAAACAAATATTAAGACATTTCCTGTTACAATCACCCTTAGGAGCCTCACAGCTCCCAACCACCCAGTCATTCTTCTTATTTCAACACAGGAATATTTACTTTAGGTGCTGGAAATGCACACCCTGGAGACGCAGGAGTTGTGCTCCAGGAGCCACAGGGACCTGCAGCTTTGCCCTCCAGCACTGTCACCTTTGGGAAGCAACCGAGGGGCCTTGTCTAATCAGCAGCCTGGTCCTCAACTGAGAGTTGGGGAGGGGGGGAAATACAAAAATAAAAATCAGTGGGATACTCAAATTTACAGTCACAGGAACTCATACCTCTAAACTCACTCTACAAGTTTTTTATTCCAATGCCCCAAACACAGACAGGGCTCTCCAGCACTATTGATTTATAAACTCATTCAAGAGAGAGGCTTCGTATTGTGCTCCAGGGTTTTTATAACCTTTGAAACAGAGTTCTTTGGAGGGGCCATAAGAAAATGAGACGTAGCAGTGCTTTGGCAGTTTTAAACTCCTAAAGCAGCAAGAAGTTGGGATAGAGGTTCTGTGGTTATAAGAAATAGAGAAATATATGTATTTGAAGTCAGTGTCAGGTGAATAAAGGCAAAGAGCAGAACACAGCTGAAAGGAACTGGGCCATGTGAGAAGATGAATCGCAGTGTCTCTGAGGGAAGGAGTAGGCTGCCTACAACTTCCACCCCAGACCTATGGCCCGAGGCGGAGCACAGCCCCCTCAGTTCTTCTCCTCAATCACATTTTCTCAGAAGATGAGTCAGCTCCTGAGAGATCTTTAAAAAAAATAAAAATAAAAATCCCCATCCTGTAACTTTCCAACGGTCTTTTCTCATGTCTTGCAAAGGGCTGAATTCAAAGTTGCTCCCTTTATTTTACAACTGTATTTTACTATGATTTTCCCTCACACACAGGAAGAGAGAACAGCCTGTGCTCTCCCCTCCCAGCTCACTAAGACTTGAAAGATTCCTTTTCCCCCACAACATTAAAGACAGTTTGCACTACAATAACGAAAAACACCATTTTGCAGGAGAGCTTCACAATGATATCAGCATATTCAGCATTTTCTGAAGCAAATTACAAGGATTCCTCCAAGTCTAGGCTTTTCCTTGTCCTAGTCACTTGGTTGACTCCCCAAGGTCTCCACCAAGATGCAGCTCATTGGTTAAGTTACATAAAAGGAGCCTTAAGTAGAGCACTCTATTGAGGTTTGAGTTTTCCCTTTAAAATGCAAATGGCTGGTAGTTAATTCCCTTTTGGGATTTAAGAGCTGAATTTAAAATGGGAAATGATGATACAAAAATATACTTCAGAAAGCATTGCAGTGTGAGTAATGAAACCTTCGCCACGTGAATGCAGATCCTTGGGGTCAGCAGACATCTTCATTTATCTGCATTTTAATAGTTTACCTCAAAACTGCTTTTGGCTAAGTTTTTCCTCAACATATTACCTGGTGCAGTCTCAGTGGACTACAAAGAAGGCAAAATTTGACTGCATTTTCTATTTTTTAAAATCTCCTAGATCAACACATTTAAATACATCAATATTCCATTGTGTATGATAAAGATCTCCCTCTTGTCTCTTCGAAAGTCTAATGAGACCCTTTCCATACTTCCTGAAAATACGGCTGGACCACAGACCCATTTGCCAGCTCCTTTTTTTGACGGGGAAGGCTAAAAAGCAATCCAAAAGAAGTGTCTGTTTAGCAAAGATGTTAAATCAATATTCTCTTCCCAACTGCCAAAGGAATGTCTTCCATCTCCCTTTCTTTTTCATAATTACGAGTTTACTTCTAAGGGGGGGAATAAGCATATATAATTATGTCCTTAGCTCAATTTATGCTTAAACACATGCATAGACACACAGACACACCCTGCAACCTTAGAGGCAACTGTGGGATGCAAGTGCTCTGATCTGCATTTAAAATTCAGAGTGCTCCACTCCATGCACGATCAGGCCTTAAGTAACTCAACTGGATTCCTTCTATTCGTTCTGTCTTCTGGAAAATATATCTTTACATAACCCTTCAAAAGAATCATTTCTATGCACACGGACACTGACACAAACACATACACCAGTTTTCATAAACCTTATCCCAGCAAAGGTTGGAACTGTGCTGGCATGAGAGGAAAACTACAGTTCACAACAGGGAACTGCAAAGTTCCTGGCCTGTGTTTAGAAGGGCCTAAACCTGGGTCTGGATGAAAAACTAGAAATTATTTGTATTTGGTGCACTTCCTTTAGCACGTGGGTGCAGAGCTGGAGCTGTGGCCAGAGGGTGAAATGAGAGCAGCCCTGAGCCAGGTGTCCCCCCTGGCCAACACCACGTGCTGATCCAGCATCATCTGGATCATCCAGCATGAGCACAGTGTAGATCCCTTGGCAGTGTCAGTAATTAAATACCTGCACCACCTCAAAACCTAAAAAACAAGGACTTAACACAAGTCTTATTTCAAGCTTTCCCTCCACCTATACAAGAACATATCAAATAGTCAAATTTTTCCTTTTTGCCCTTCTTTGGTTTCCATGTTTTTCTGCACACTGCAAACTGGCCAAGTTCTCCAGGCTCTGTTCTCTCTTTTTTTTTTTTTTCTTATAGGCTGACTTCAATCAAACCCTAGATCTGAAACTCCCCACACAACCAACAAAGAGCGTATTTCAGAATGTTAAATTTGAGAAGTCACAATAAGAGCTGTGCAATTATACTGTGATATCACTCCCAGAGCACTGTTATTCCATTGTGAATGAAAACAGCATCTGGCATAGGGCAGGAAATCAGTTACCAAAGGAGTATCCAAGAAGTACAGCAATGAAAAATAAGATTTAAATGAGTTTATGGCTATGTAAGTTGTTCTATTTGCTGGGAAGGTACTTCTTTAAAATCAGAGAAGGAAAAATATTGCACTTGTTAAGTCTTTTTTCCACCTTTAACTCCAGTATTTGCTAATACCTTTTCAACAATTGCATAATTCACTATTGAGCATTTCATGGTGAGAGAAGCCAGCAGTCTGTACAGCACAGGGCTCTTTCATTCCTCTTTATTTCCTGTTTCTGTTATCAACCAACATGTCAGCTGTGAAAGAAAACCTGGTGAAAGACTGTGAAAAGAGATAAACTCCCAGCAGGTGTCACAGAAATACTGGATTGGCTTTTAGTCTTAATTATACCTTCAGTGTGGTTTCCTGTGTTGCAGTTGCTCTATACTAAACAAAAGAGTATTATTTCAACATTTTTTTTCTACAGTTTCTGCAATCATTATAAAGAGAAAGTGAACAGGTGAAAATAAAACTAGGTAAGAGATGGAAAAAGGGCAAACAGGTATTATCAGCATGTGTCCTGGAAGTTCTGCAGGAAATTAATGAGGAAAGGGAACAGAAGGGGTGCTGGAATGTGGAATTCAGTGTAAAGATGAACACAGAAGATCGCAGAGTGGCTTGGGTTGGAAGAGATCTCAAAGATCATCTCACTCCACCCCCTGCCATGGGCAGGGACACCTCCCACTAGCCCAGGTTGCTCCAGGCCTCATCCACCTGGCCTTGGACACTTCCAGGGATGGGGCAGCCACAGCTTCTCTGGGCATTTACAGCCTTTTGCAGGTGAGGAGAACCATGATGATGTGAAGCTGCTCAGCCAACTTTTAGGCTATTTTTGGGTGAAACAGAACTCACCAGGGAGATGAATTCAGCCTTATCAAGCTCATCTGAGGAGTGAAAAATGACCTTGTCATCTTAGGCCTATTCCTGGCCTTTGCCTTCCTAAATACCTCAGCAACTATAAGAATAACTTTCAAGAGAATCTTACCACAGTGGTGAAAAGGTATTTCAGTGTAAAAAGTGGCTACTGAGGGGCTGGGCCTGCAGCTGGCAAATCTCTTAATCAGAATTATTCAAAATTGGCTTTAAGAAATGCCCTTGTTATTACTGTGCTCCTCTATTATTCAGGCAAATTCACTGAGCAGCAAATTTTTGAGTATTTTGAAAATTAGGGGTCAAAATCTGGGATGCTTTGATAAAACTGAAGAGCCCAGATCCAACCTGAGCTCCCACTGGAGCGTATTGGCTTTAAAGACAGTCTTCCCAAGCAAAGGGAGTGTAGAGCCCTGGGAAATACCAATTCTACTCTATCAGCAAAACCCTTGAAACAAATCTGCAGAGGGATCCCTGCAAAAGGAAGGCAGAAAACCTGCCATGATGCAGGAGACAGGAACACTCAGCTGGAACTGCAGCAAACCCTTTATTGTGAGCTGTAACCTCATGCTCAGGCAAGCAAACCCAGAATTTTTCCACTGTGTGCAGGCTGGGGTTACAGGAGTTCAAAGCAACAGTTGAACAATTCCATAATAACAGAAATGCAAAGTGGTGGCATAACTTTACTGTGTAAATCCACTGCTTTGAAGAAACCACCTTTGTTTTGGGTCAGGCTGGCCAGGTGCCTGGGCACACCTGGAATATAGAACGTTTGGGTGCACCTGGATAACATCACATGAGCTGTAACACTGAGGATTATTTCCTGCATGAAAAAAAAGAAAGAAAAAAAATGAGACTAGCTTGAAATAATTGGGTTAAGTTCTGTTCACTGAAAGGTTTGGGGGAAGCAGACATGGTTTTTCATCACAGCCTCCGGGATCCACATCCTTCCTCTGGTGACGTTTGCCTGAAGCACAGCAGAGGGTCTGCCAGAATTCCCTGCTCTGGGCAGCTCTTTTCCCCTGAGCAGCACATTTTTCTGTTTTTCCTGTGTGTGTGGCAGCAGGAGTTTCTCATCTGGACCCATCTCTGCACCAGGGCAGAAGCTGTGGCTCCACTCAATGGCTGTGCGATTTGACATCCTTGGGGGTTGTCAGCTGCACAGATAAGGCAGCACCAACTCCCTGGCAAATCCTGGCACTTGCTCCATTTGATTCCTTCTCTTCTCCTCAAATACTTGTTTTCCAAGGCATTCAGGTATCTGTCTCCAGCGTGGGTGGAATACACTTACCTTCCAACTCAGTTAAGTTTGAAAACATTCCCTCCCTTAAACTAATCATCCCCTGAAGCAAACATTTCTTTTCTACCCAGAAAACTCCCCCCTGGAAGGATACATCCAACTGCAAAAATATTTTGAATGCAATCCAAAATGACATCTAACTCAATCCAGCCCCAGTGCCTGCTCACCCAGGAGACCCCAGACCCCGAGGTGGTGGCAGCAGTGCAACACCACCCACCTGGCAAATGGTGGTTTTCTTCCACTTAAACTCCAAATCCCAGAATGCTGTGGAAAAATTTCGCCCGTGCTTTTCTTTTTAAAAATCTAACTTTCAACATGCTATGATAAAAAATTAAGGGAAGACTTGAAAACACAGTAAATAAAGGTTTAGAATTAAGAAAAAAGTAAAGAATGCAACTATAATTCTACTTTTTTTAAAGTCTTTTTTTGTACCAGTCCTATAAGCCATTCATAAATAGGGTAGCAATACAAATACTAAACTTAAGACAAACTCAAATTGTAAGTTTACAGAGAAAGCAAAGCAAAACAACTTTGACAAGAACCCCAGGCTGCAAGCAAAGCTCTCCCTGCAGCACTTGGGAGCACTGCAGGACATGCCAGAGCCCTGGGACCACTAATAAATCCTGAGCAGCTTCACCTGGGCTCTCCAGCCACAGGCCCAGGAGTCCTATTTAAGCCCAGCTCAGGGGCCTCATGCCTTGTCTTAGCAATACTAGTGGAGTGCTTGATTTCAGCCTGGGGTCAGTTCTAACTGGTTACAGCCCTTGACTTTGTCCTGTTGCTCTGGTATTGGAAAGTTACTGTTGGATTTTGTCCAATTTTTATCACTAAATTATAGACTGATACTAGTTCTGACCTCAGCCCTGCCTCATTCTCTTGAACTTGCCTCAGAACCTGGATTTCTGAATGTCCCTGCTGCCATCTCCAGATGAGTCTTAGCCATCTCCTTTAGGTACTGAAGGATGAGACTGTGACTGGTGAATATTTCCACGAGCTTTGAGATGCAGGTTTTTGGGTAAGAGCTGAAGACATCCCAGGGGACGTTTTTTACACTTAAAAATTTGTAAGAGCTTCTAAAACTGCATCACCTAAAATGAAATGTTCTCTGTAAAAGCCCTGTTGTCCGTGCGGAGCAGAGGAGCTGGTCAGACAGCTGAGAATGAGGAATTTTTGGACAGGAGAAGATGAAAGAAATGTGGTTTCTTTCTGACAAAACAAACTTGATGGGAGGATGTACCTGTCTATAAACACATCAGGAGAGTAAACACTGGGGCAAGGATAGAGACCCTCTTTAAATTGCATGCAAATGTTGGCACAAGAACAAGCAAGTAGAATAAGCTTTGGAAAAAAACCAGCCTTGTCTTCAGTGATGTTTTTAGTCTCTTGTTCAAGGCTGCAAGAATAAAAGCCTCAGTTTCTCTCAAGAGAAATCCTGCTCAGGTTATTCACTGTGGTGTCTGTGATGGAGAGGAGGTGGTGGCTTGGAAACTCCTTTGCCGACTCCTCCATCCATGAGAAGGTCAGACTTCTAATTTCTAACTCCTGGGGAAGGAGGAGGACTGAGCATCTGACAGATAAGTATTTTTATCCCTATACATACTGAAAAAGGATACGGAGTTTTCCCAGCTAGGCAACTTACTTTTGGCTGCTCTATAAAAAGGCAAGATAAACAGAGTATGGGGTTGGTACATGTACTAAATTACATCATAAAGTAGGATTTTTTTTCTTTTAAAGAAAACATGGTAGATGTTTAGACAGCAGCCACAAGTTATCACTGAACTTGTTTCTATGTTGCTTCCTTTATTTATCTACCAAATTCAGAAGCAGGAGGACTATCTCTGAAGATCCCCTCTTTCCCAACAAAGGCAGGATAAGGCTGATTCTGTCATATAATCATCACTTTTTTTTTAAAAAATGCAATTGAAGGGATACGTTTCAAGTTCTTTCCCAGTGCTGGAGACAGGGAAACCTTCTAGAAAAATAAAAAATACTTTTAAATCCTGTAAATTTTAAAGCCAGCCTGTTAAATTTTAAGCCAGTTTCCTGGCTTAATTTTGTGCCTCTTTATATTCCCCATTAAATATTAAGGGGTAAATGCTACTTGGGTGGGTACAGATCAGGCAAAGAGCGAATAGTGAATGTATGGGATGAAATGCCTTAGCTAATGGTATGTTTTTCATTCAAAATAAAATCTTTACACTGATTTTTCTCTTTTTAAAGATATCAATATAATGTAATACAGGAGTAATTTTAGTAGAGAATATCCAACCTTTATATAAGTTTCTGGCAAACTCTGAAATATCTGAGTTGCCTGAGTCATTCCAGCCTATTTAATGGAGAGGAAACCCAAACAGGCTCTGTGTTTATTTTGCAGTTAATTTCCTATTAACGGCAGTTCTACACAACCAGAGCTGGGCAGTGGATTCTCTTGAACTCAAGAGGGAAATCCCCTTTCCAGCCTCAGCAGCTCCCTGTGATCCCATGTAAAACCTCAAGAATTTCCAAAAGAATTTATTCCCAGGTATAGCAGTTCAAATAAATCCACCCTGGATTTTGTGCCAAACCAACCATTATAGCTAATCTTGCAGAATAATTATATCTGGACAATCATATTCAACACTACAAGAGGTTTGTGGGGAAGTTACAAAATAAAATTAAAAGTTCCCATGTTGTCCCTAGCTTCAGTATGTCACTGTGCCACCTCAGATACCCAACTATAGCAGCATAATTTAAATATGTGGGACAAGGACTATAGGGATTCCTTTAGAGTGGTGCTGGAAGGGTTTTAAGGCTGATGGTGGTTGAGGTCCTTTCCCAGAGAAATGTGTGCACTAAATCACCAGGAATCCCAATGAAGAGAAGCTGACCTGGATTTGAAGTTGAACCACATCTGTCCAGTGAGATTTCTGGGAAGTGCTTCAAGAAATAACAAGTCTGGCAATGCAGAGGAGAACTGGGCTGCACTGGAATTCTGAACTGGGTTGACTGGGACCACAACCTGCTGCCTGTAGAAGGACTGGGGCTGCACAGGAGCAGCTAGGACAAGAAGGAAAAAACCTCGTTCTCATCCAGCAGAAGCTTGTGAAGAGGCAGTTTTTACATCCAAACCTGTGAAATGCTCAACTCCTGGTTGATTTTTATCTTCCCTAAACACTGAGATTTCAAGGCCCCATCATGAGCAGCAGCAGCCTCCATAAATATTGTTAGAATGGAGTCAAAGAGATATTGGAGTGTGAGTGGCAAAGTGCCTGCAGGCATTTTGGCAGCCAGAACTCACTTTTCCCATCCCTACACCCCAACAGGGCTTTGCTAAATAGATTTTCAGTGAACTGAAAAGCTCTCTTTTCCTGAAACTTGCTGCATCTTTTACCCAGTGAAGATTAAGGGGGGTGATGAGAGTTGTTTCCTGGCTTATTTCTGTGTTGCTTTATATTTATTAATAAACATTGCGGGATGTGACTACAGATCAGACACAGAGAGCTGATAGTGAATGTGTGGGA